ATCAGTACCGAATAAGCAGGGTACAGCCAAAGACCTCGAAATTAGAACAGGTCCCAATATGGCTACCTCACCAACTTCAATGCGGGCATCCACCTGCCCAATTATGCCCATGCTACCCCCATTCGCCTCGACACAAGCATCAATGACTGGACGAATTTGGGTAGCAGGGATCAAAAGCAATTGAAAAATAACGTCCGAAATAATGGTAGCAGAAGCCCCCGTGTCCACCAGGACGCGCACCTCCACCCCTTGTACTGAACCCGACACTGCCGAGGACCCCGCAGCCGCCACGACCACGCGACGCGCCAATTTCTTCCATTGTGTTATCGAACTAGGCCATCCCCGTGCAACCGGACCCGGTCGCATGGTGTCAACATGCGACCCGTGCTGTGAACGAACAGCCCCCGAGTCAAGAGATGCCTGAGGTTATGAAATGGGCCGGGTGTCCGACGTGTACCGACTCGCCTGTGGGGGTGGTGGTGGAGCCATCGGAGGGGCAGCAGGCGCCGGAGCAGCAACCGAAGTCGGAGATGAAGGCCGGCTTCGGCATTCCCTCGCAAAGTGTCCCAGTCGGACACAACAATAGCAGGCCAAGGGTGGCCTCTGTGCTCCCCGGTCCTCGCGCTGACGTGGTCCCTCGTTCCATCGGCGACGTGCAGCGTCGCCCCGTCTTCAATTCCATTGAGGAACCGCAGCGGCGAAAGCACCATCAAAAGACGCGGAATCACGATGAATTTACTCGGCGACCATCCCTTCGGGTCCCCGTCCCAACTGGGGTCTCCCGTCAACGCTGCTGTCTGCGACCATCGCTGAATTTATCAAGATGGGCATAAAGGATATGGACTTTTAGGGACATCTTACAGGCCATTGTGCCCTAGTTCTTCACCAGTCTCAACCAGCGCCACATAGTTTTCGACCTTGTGATTGCCCAGGAAGCCACGGACCACTGTGACAAAGCTGTTCCAAGTCACTTTCTCCTTACTAGTGAGCTTCTTGGGGAATGTGTGTCTGTGCTGTGTGTGTGTAGAAAACTATTAATAAAAAATTAAGTTACTTCTTTTAACAATAATAATGCGTGTGTCTACGTCCATATGTGTGTGTGAGTCGATGTGCGTGTCTGCAGTAATGTGTGTGTGTAAGTCAATGTGTGTGTGTGAGTCGATGTGTTTGTGTGTGTGAGTCGATATGTGTGTGTGTCAGTCGATGTGCGTGTGTGTTAGTCGCTGTGTGTGCGTGGCTCCATGTGAGTAAGTGTAAGTCCATTTTTTTGCAAGTGTGTAGGTCCATGTGTGCGTGTGAGTGCATGTGTGTGTGTACGTACATGTGTGTGTGGCTCTATGTGCGTGTGTGAGTCGATGTGTCTGCTTGTGTGTCAGTCGATGTGTGTACGGCAATGTGTGTATGTGTGTGAGAGTCCATGTGTGTGTGTGCGTCGATATGTGTCTGTGTGAGTCTATGTGTGTGTATGATTCGTTGTATGTGTGTAACTCAGGGGCGGTATCTTCAGGGCGATTGGGCGACGCACCACCAATGTCATTCAACCACAGAGTTACGCTATTAAAGAAGTTAAGTTGCCTTTACATGCTTAAGCTGTTAATTTATCCATTGCATGGGTGGACCTTATCCTTATCAATCATCCAGACATTTGCCCCCCCTGAGAGATTTTGCAGGAGCCGCCACTGGTGTAACTCTATGTCTAAGTGTGTCTCAAGTCGATGTCTGTGTGTGTAAGTCCATGTGTGTGTGTGTGTAAGTGGATGTGTTTCTATGTGTGTGGGTCGATGTCTGTGTGTAAGTCGATGTGTGTGTCTGTCGTTTTCGCCCGAGCAACGCCGGGTACTTACCGCTAATGTTCTATAAGTTACTCCAAGTTTACTCAATACTGAGTCTATCTGGAATGTTCTGGAAAATAGGTACATTTCAAAATATCACTGTCCTGGTCACAAAAGCAAAGTTTGTGGGAAATAATAGCCATTTTTTGTACTTTTGAGGCATAAGCAATTAGGAAATGACACTTACTACCCAGGAAGTAAATAAATAAGTAATTGTTATACAGTGTAATCAGAACAAACGTTAAGGAACATTTGTCTTCATAGAAACCGGCGTCATGCAATGATTAGAAGGGCTTCATGTGCCAACATTTCTTCCATAATCCGTTCTCACAACACAACCCACTTTGCTTTCATTGCACATGCTACACACTGCAAAGATGTTTGCCCACCCCAGCAGTGCAACGGCCCGAGTACACACACATACGTCTAATTTATTTTGCTGCCCCATTAGGTGCTACTTTTTGTCAATGCAGTTTTAATACCGTGACCCTGCATGGCTTGTGTACCTTATTGCAAGCGTCATCTCTGACATTTGAACGATGACCAGTATTGGCCCGTAGCGAAGAACTGCCTTGCTTGGCCGTGTGTCATCGGGCAAACGTGAGCACAGCACTGACTGTGAGCTCTGATGCGCCCAGGGCCTTGGTCGTGAACAGCCGATACTGTGGCACATCTCAGTTGCCGTCGTGTGCGCTGGTTCGATAGAGGATTCCTCCTCTCTGTCTCCCGTCTATCTCCACGGTAAGCAGCTGCTTTGCATGTTGCGATCATTGTCTCGCCGTGTAGAGCTCAGATGGTCAGAGAGTAGTCTCCAAGCACATGTTAGGATTTAAAAGTGTTTTTGATTTGTTCAATTGACCCATTGTTTGCTTGTTCAACAAACCTCATTGTTAGATATATCGCGTTTTGCAATGAAATCGCCTGCACAAAGGATAAATAATTGAATCATGATAATCTAATAGAAGGACGACGCCGATGCCAATGTGTGGCCCACTGAGAGAGGAGCACGAGGGAGTGAATCCCAGACCACTTGAGCTGCGACAGGGTCTCTGTGTGAGTATGGATCTCTGTGTGAGTCTATGGGTCTCTGTGGGAGTCGATGGGTCTATGAATATATGGGTCTGTGTGAGTCTGTGGGTCTGTGTGAGCCTTTGGCTCTCTGTGAGAGGCTATGGGCAATAGTTTAACACGTAGGCTTTCGCGACCAGTATGGGCAATAGTCTGTGGAGAGGGTGAATTCCAGGCGAATGAAGCCACGACAAAGAAGCAATGTTCACCTTGTTTGTGTCAAGAAACTTGGGGCTTGACAAGGAGGAAGCCTTAACACGTAGGCTTTCGCGTCCAATGTCATACGTAATACAGTTTTCTTTTGGTTAGATCGCGCAAATATAAATGTATCGTTAAATCTGCCACCACCCGACAGGCAATGAGTATATATACGTCAACTCGGATTACCTGTGAACAGACAATACCAGGTACTGCTATTTTAATACACACAAACGGCAGGAGGTAAAAGAACAATGGACATGTATAATGTGCATGTGTAAAGTAGGAGCCGACACCAGATTGCAGGGGTCTCGTCCTTTATTCCTTTCCTTCCATCCACACCTGTCCCCAGCCATCCCAATATCGTTCCCGCCAAAGGCGCCTTCTTCCCGCCCGTTCTCTCCTTATATCTCCTCGATCACCCCTCCCACTAACCCATCTATTGGTGGGAATCCTTCCCCTGACACCCCTACACATGCATAATGTGCGTTTATTACAAATGTAGTGGGTTAAATTCAGGCGCACACTTGAGCTTTGGAGGCAACACTATGTATTAGCTAAACACAACGGGTAACTCTTAACATTAACAGGATAACGACATAGGGTGGTAACCACGTTCCCAATTTAGCTAACACACGGGGATACTACATTTCTGGACCGGAGACCGAGGATCGTAGATGGTGGCTTCATCCCAGAGTTGACCCAGCAGAACAGCACAGAACAACGCGGCTCTCCGTCCACGCCCCGCTTGTAACCACTCCGGCGTGGCCGACTCCGTCCCAGGCCACGCCCCCCTTCTCGATCCTTCGGGAAGGCCCGAACCCCAACCACGTGACCCCCCTGGGACCCCTGGCCCCCCTTTATCCGGTCACGTGTCCTGTTGGGTTCACGCAAAGTGTCACGGCCCATTACGACCCCCGTCGCACCTGCCTACAGCCCCCATACCGAGCCAACACGGGAGTGTCGTTCTACTACACTACACAAATGTGAATATCCCAACTGGTAATAGATACCCATTGTCATTTATATTCATTCATTAATCCCCCCCCCTGCGCACGTGAAGGTTTTACAAGTGACGTCATCACATCTATTCCTCTAATTAACAGAACAGGAGGATTTCTCCACAAATCTGGCTGCTGCCTGATGGTGCTAGTTGTAATTACCAGGAAAATGTCGTACTCAGATTGCAAATGTTGTGGATTTGCTCGTAATTAATTGACATGTTCTCTTTACGTGACACACCTTACTACATGGCTGTGTCGGGTGGTGGCGGGTTTAACAACATATTCAGATTATGTGATCTAACTCAAAACACCTGTGTTATGAAGGAGGAAGCCACTTGAGGCGGAATTATCTGCAGTGCAGCCGTATTCTAAATAGACCCAGGGGCGAGAGGGAGGCTATTGCCCACCAACTTGTCAAACTCTGGGGGCACAAAATAGACTTCAGCCTCCCTACTTAAAAACTCCTGTATGCAGGGAAATATATAGTCAAATATATTGCTTTACTTTTCATTTTGTTATTCCATGAACATTTACATCCGTGTTGGACACCGTCCTTCCATTTTTTCCGTATTGATTTATGTGACAATAGATAGAACGGAAACATAAGGAACCATTATTTACAATGTTCTCATGTATGTTGAGTATTAATGTGATGATGGTGCTTCGTGTGGCAGATTTGTATGAATGTATGTTGAACTTCTTTCGCACCGTACACAGCCAACTATGCCAGAAAGGTGCCGTGTGTGTAAAAAAAATAACATTGACTCGACGAGTCATTAAAATCTGACCAAAACAAACTCTCCGGTTGCTTAAGTATTTTCCTAACCGAATGTCACGTCAACCTATAATGGTTTGCATTTACATGAGCCCCTTTCTGTCCCTTCCTCTGCTACTCCCAGATCCGTGAGCACTGCCCCGGGGATGATGAGAGCACTCGACTTTTACCAGTGGCTCCTGGCAGTTGGAGCTGGGATCTTAATATATTCATTCTTGCTCAGCATCCAGGTGCTTCCTAATAGTGAGTACGGGATGGGAGTAGAGGGCCAGAGGTTTCAGGCTCCTGCGTGGACCACGTGAGGATTTTGCGATCGCTATGGCAGTGACGGAACTGAGCAGTATCGCGTTTCAGAATCAGGATCTTTATAACTGGACGAGGAGGAATCCGATGAGCTATGAAGCTCTTTCTCACGGATGTCCAGGAGGGGCGAGGGTGGTCCAGCGAGTTACCATCAGTAAGCAACACAAATGACGATGTGAGTTGCAAGATAGACAAAAGGTAAGCATGTCACTACAAATAGAAATCGATAAAGTATCCAAGGAGAATAGATCCTGTCGATTTGTCAACACAAAATGCAATCTTGGACAAGGCAGCAAAACTACAACAAAAACAGTTCCCAAACACACCAAGACAACAAGTGTACCTCGATTACATTGCACATTAAATATGAATTCATTCTTTTTTGCAGAGGTTCGTGGTGAGACACCCACGGCCGCCCAGGTTAATGTAACGGATGTGTTAACTCGTAACAAAAAATACGGTACATGCTGTCTGCTTCACCAGTGGCTTGGAAAGATCCTTTGAATGTAATAGAAAACTAATAGGTGATGAATGCTTGGTGGCATTATAGGTAACATTTGAAAAATAATAATTCACAAATTACTAACTTGGGATAACACATAGCAATATAATTTGGCCCTGTCTATAAAAGTAGCAGGACCCTCTTGAAATAGAGACTTGAGACTTAGTGAGCGGGTTCCTAGGTAATTATGAGTTATCGCAGCAGAATGTGGTCCAATGGCTTGGACAGCAGTTAGCCTGCTGCGCTATGGAGCTAGTTGCCTACATTGATACGCAACCACTTCTCACATGAATGGTGAGTTATTGACCCGTGTTGTGAAGTATGGTCCAACAATCCACACGACCGAATCGGCATTGAAAACATGCTAATCTCACTGTGAATTGTCCCCAATAAAGTGGACAATTCACGTGTGGTGAGTTTAAATTGTCTCTGCCTGACCACCAATGACCATGCAAAAACAACCATCAGAATGCATTTTTTTCTCATTTTTAATCACTAAATGTGAAAATAAAAATATCAGGTTGACTGCTACGTGAGGAACACCCCCATGCAGCAGCAGAGGTGGGACAAAGTCATTGTTATGCAAGTCCAAGTCGAGTCTGAAGTCATCAAATTCATAACTCGAGTCTGACTCGAGTCCAAGTCACATGACTCGAGTCCACACCTCAGAGGTGGGACAAAGTCATTGTTATGCAAGTCCAAGTCGAGTCTGAAGTCATCAAATTCATGACTCGAGTCTGACTCGAGTCCAAGTCACATGACTCGAGTCCACACCCCCATGCAGCAGGGTATATGGGAGAGTGCCTCAACCCCCAGAGTGTGGAAGAAAATGGCGCACTTTGCCATGGAGGTCAAACCAAAAGATAAAAATATAATTGAAAAAAAAATTGTCACTTAATTCTGCTTGCTTAATCCCTGAGAAGTATAGAACTGTGGTTTTATTTGCATGTGACTAATAGTCTATGAAGGGAATGTAATAGCTGCTCTATACTAAGAGTCGATCACAAAAACTCCAGCAGTAGTATCGTAGTGTCCCGTGACTCAGGTCTCTGTGCTGTTAAAAAACCAGCGACAATAGCTCCTCCACGTGGAAACGTGTTCATCCCGTGACGACACGCCCGCAATGGTGTGGGGAGCAGAGGGAAGTGCAGCAACGTGTTCCTCTCGTCGACTTGTAAGCACCCACTTTTACGCTCCCCACCTTCACCAATCCGCGCTGACCAGCATGAAGTATGGTCAAATACGTAACAGTCAGACTGCATGGCGCAAGGGAGACCATCACGCAGTAGTGAACATTAAAGGGCCGTGCTTGTCTACGTGCGATGACGTGATGCATTCATCGCAATTGGGATATTACGTGTGATATAAAAGGGAATTTCAGAGTGGCACACGGGAGTTCTAATGATATCTTTTTACATCTTGTTGCGATCCTACAGGTCCATTGACCCCAAGCCATCTTAAAAGTGTGGATTCACAGAGCAGTGAGAAGGCCGGCACAGCTCTCCCAGCGACAGTAAGGCCGCATCTAACACGAGCCGCATCGAACACGAGCGGCATCTAACGCGAGCTTTATTTAACACTGGGGGAATATAACACTGTTATTAGACACCACACGAGCGTTCCGGATGGGAATATCTTCAATTCACATGACATGAATTGCAAAATTGATTTAACATTTGGGGTTAGTCGGGCAGAGAGAATCAAAAACAGATATCAGCCACAATTCTCATGCAACGTATTAATTAGCTTGTGTCCTCTCTCGCATAGCTTGTGAATTTGCAACATGTTCATTAGCTTGCATATTCTCTCTCGTGGCTTGTCATTACACGTGTTCAGTAGCTTGTGTTCTCCCTCATATGGCGCAGAACAGCTCCGCACAGCTCCAGGGTCAAACCTCAGGAGATTGTTCGCGTGGGGGCACCGGCTGTCCTTCTCCTCGTACAGGGCAGGACGCTGACCGACACTCCAAAGTGGCTTCCTCTCCCAGTCGTAAGTCGTGGTGGAGGACGCGCAGACTCACGGCATGCACTGTCTCTGGTGGTGGTATACAAATGTGGATAACAGGGGCGAAGCGATCCGTGGGTAGCAGGAGTTTTTGTCAGATCAATTGGGGGTGCGGTTAGCCATGACCGCGGATGGAGGCTTTATACAAACAACGATACTGGCTTGGTGCTCTTGCGTGGGCATTCGCGTTGTGAGCCATACAGCCATCATGCTTCGACGAGTCTTCTTTGTGTGGCTCAAGTCGATGTAGAGAGCAACAGCTAGTGAGTGCATCAGGAGTAGTGGAGTGGTGTTTATTGCTGTCATGACGCCTCCTCTTTCGCATTTGTGAATCGGGCATTGAATTATCAGAATCAGAAGTTTATTTCCCGAATAAAGCCCATTGAGCTAAGAAAGTATTTTTTAAGGGCGACTCGGTCGGCAGACAACATTACAGATTAAAAATAAAATAACTTAATAATAGCAATTATTTCGTAAAGTTGTACGTTCCATGATATTTTCTGTGTGACCACAGCCTCCGCACACTGCTTCAGTGATTTTAGTGATGAATGCCAATGCATCATTGTTGTTGTTCCTTCCTGGGTGTGGTGTGTGTGTGTGTGCAGCAGACAGCTGGGGAAACCTGCTCATGGGTAAATTGCTGGAAGAGAATCAGGAAGAGCGGCTCTCGACTCTCACCACAGAGTGCAAGCAGCTCAGGGAGAGGGGCATCTTGCCGCAGTCGCCATCGCCACGCGTCCAGGAGTGGCTCGCATCCCGCATCTATGTGGCCGACCGCTATGCATTTATGTACTGTGAGGTGCCCAAGACCGGCTGCACCAACTGGAAGAGGACCTTCCTGGCGCTGATGGGGAACATCAAGTCGTCCAAGGTGATGACGCAGAATCAAGTGCACAACTTCAACTATACAAAGCTGAGCTCGTTTGACACCTCTGGTCAGCGCTCGCGGCTAGATAACTACACGATGGTGATGTTTGTGAGGGAGCCCATGGAGCGCCTCGTGTCCGCCTACCGAGACAAGTTTCTGCACTCCAAGCACTACAAGGTGCGTACCAGTGTGTGAATGTAAACGTGCAGCGCACGCTACGACTGAATGTAGCCCCTCCCCCCTCTTCCACCACTTAGTATATGTGTAGTGGTTCACACGAGGGAGGCAGATACTTCTTGGAGGCAACACGTTTATTACAATAAGCCCTAAAACACGCAGATGTATCACTGCCTCTTCACCAGCTACCCTAGCGAGGTATCTCCTTCAGGCTGGCTCGCCCTGGCTCGCCCTGGGTCATTCTAGCTCGCCCTGACTCACCCTGGCTAATCCTGGCCCCCCTGGCTCCCCCTGGCTCCCCCTGGTTCACCCTGGCTCACCCTGGCTCACCCTGGCTAATCCTAGCCCCCTGGCTCCCCCTGGCTCACCCTGGCTCATTCTAGCTCCCCCTGGCTCACCCTGGCTCATTCTAGCTCCCCCTGGCTCCCGCTGGCTCACCCTGGCTCACTCTTGCTCACCCTGGCTCCCCCTGGCTCACTCTAGCTCACCCTGGCTCCCCCTGGCTCGCCCTGGCTCATTCTAGCTCACCCTCGCTCCCCCTGGCTCACCCTGGCTCCCCCTGGCTCACCCTGGCTCATTCTAGCTCCCCCTGGCTCCCCCTGGCTCATTCTAGCTCACCCTCGCTCCCCCTGGCTCCCCCTGGCTCACCCTGGCTCCCCTTGGCTCACCCTGGCTCACCCTGGCTCCCCCTGGCTCACGCTGACTCCCCCTGGCTCCCCCTGGCTCCCCCTGGCTCATTCTAGCTCACCCTGGCTCACCCTGGCTCCCCCTGGCTCACGCTGACTCCCCCTGGCTCCCCCTGGCTCATTCTAGCTCACCCTGGCTCACCCTGGCTCACCCTGGCTCATTCTAGCTCACCCTGGCTCACCCTCGCTCACCCTGGCTCACCCTCGCTCACCCTCGCTCACCCTCGCTCACCCTCGCTCACCCTGGCTCCCCCTGGCTCACCCTGGCTCACACTAGCTCACCCTAGCTAATCCTGGCTTACCCGAGCTCACACAGGGTGGGTATCTCGGACCGGACCCTGCCTCGGGTCCGAGCCCTGTAGTCGGGCAGGTCTTCTCCAGGTGACGGCTTTTGTCTTCAGTCTTGCACCAGCTGCCGGACCCGTTCTGGGGTCCGGCTTGTATTGCCGGTCCCGGGGCTTCCTCTGCCCCTGGCCACGCCTCCCTTCTCGAGCCTTCGAGAGGCACCTGGTCCTGGTCCCGTGGTCCCCCCAGCCCCCTCCTTCGGGCCCCTTGGCCGGTGCCTCCGGTCACCAAGCCTCCGGGTTCACCTGGAGTGCCACGGCCCCCTGTGAACCCCTTGCGCCGTCCCTGGCGCACTTGCCCCCTGACCGCCAGAGGCTGGCACTGCATGTGGCTGGTGTGAGCGGCGCGCATCGTACCTCACACAGGCCGGCGTATTGTCTCATGCAGTGGCCTCCACCGATGCCACTACATATGTCATAGGGATTGTTTGACCATTTTTCACCATGTTGGCCAGTCTGGGTTGGTAAAGGAGTGGAGTGGCCTATAACCAGTTGTGATCACTCACCACTGACGTTCGCTGTGGTCAAGAATGTAACTGAACTGGTTGGGTTCATTGTCCATTTCACTTACAAATAAATCCGTGCTCTCAGTTAAAATGTTACTTTATTGCTGAACTCATGATAGAATAATAAGCAGACAATATAATTATTCACCATTGCGTTGTGGGTGAGGCCACAAAGTGATCTAGCAAAATCTGTATTGTTAAAATCCTCCACTATCTGCCAAAGCCAAACAAATTGAATTTCGATTTAAAGCTTTCGTGACTGCAGGGATTCATCTTCTTGGTTCTTTCGGTAAAGTCACGTAGAAGGGAAGTAATAAAATAATAAAAATATTATATTATATTATTTTATTATATTATTTTATTATTTTATTATGTTTTATTTTTATTATTTTATTACTTCCCTTCTATGTGACTTTACCGAAAGAACCAAGAAGACAAATTGAATTTGTTTGTGGTGGACAAGCAGAGGAGATATGCAGAGAGTAGAAATAATGAGTTAGATAAGAAAGATGTAAGATATAGATGTGGTGATGTCATGCAATTAATATAGATATATTTACAATATATTATAAGAGATATATTAATAATACAGGGTGTTTAAAAAAGATGGACCCGATTTGAAATCGCTATATCTCTGCAACCACGAACCGCCCATGAATTAAACTCGTACCACTTGAAAGGGCGGGGCATAGAGTTTCACATGATTATCGCTAGATGCCTCTCCCGGCGCACAAACAGCCCCTAGCCTCAGTTATTCGCAAGATGGTGACCCCGCAATACAAGGCATTTTGCGTTCTGCAGTTCAGCAAGACTGAATCCGTAATTGCGGTGCAGCGTGCGTTTCAACGGCGTTTTAGCATTGATCCGCCAATGTCAAAGAAAATTCGTCGTTGGTACCGACAATTTGAGGAAACAAGCTGTTTATGTAAGGGGAAGAGCACAGGGTGACCACGCACCTCAGAGGAAAACGTTTGGGACGAATTAAACTATCGTCTCGATGTTGTCCGTACAGCAGGTGGAGGGCACATAGAGCATTTAAAAAATGGTTAGTTAAACTTGATAACTCATTAAACCGTTTGTAACTTTTTGTGTAATTGTAACATGTTGCCATCGTAAAAAATATTGCTTTGAAATTGGGTCCATCTTTTTCACACATGCTGTAGGTAGGCCGCAGACTTAAGTGATGTCTTCATAAAAGATGGAAGGCAGGGTCAGGTGGGCTAAGAGGCCTACGTGGCATTAAAGGCCTTTCTGTCCTGGTGCAAGCAGGAAATTAAGTCATCAGCTCTAGTCAGGTGGAGATGCAGATTGACGCCATCCTCTAGAGGCACTGGCTGCTGCTGCTGCTGCTCGTATCTGCAGCTCAACTGAGCAAGCCACGTGCGAACACCAGGGCAAAAAGTACTTTCACCCCACGTGTGCCTCTTACCCCACTCTACTATCCACTCTGAAAATAAACCGGCATAACTTTTTTCGTTTCTCTCCAAAACCAATGACGGCGAGTGCAGAAAGTGTATGGACGAGCTATCATTTCGCACTACAGGAAGAACCCCAGTCGCATGTCCCTGACAGGCGGTCACGACGTAACTTTCCCCGAGATGGTGCGCTTCATCCTCGACCCCGAGCGCCCTCTGGGGCAGGACGTGCACTGGCTACCAGCTCACCACCTGTGCCAGCCCTGTCTGCTGCGCTACGACTACCTCGGCAAAGTGGAGACTTTGGGGCGCGACGCGGCCGAATTGCTGGCGCGCGTGAGGGCACCGGAATCGGTGTTTTACTCGAGCCCAAAAGACAAACGCTCTTCTGCGTCACTCACCGGATACTACCTGGCACAGCTGAGCTCGAAAGTGAGACAGCAGCTTTACACATTCTATTATGGAGACTACAAGCTCTTCGGATATCCACTGCCATCTGACATGAACATTTGAAGGCACCATAACTCAGTTATCTTCGAACTGAACACCACATTTAATATAAACTAGATATTTTGCTTAATTGGTAATGTTTAACCAAGTATCTGCATTTTAAGGTTCCTGCATGAAGATAATTTCCACCAAACCACACAGAGCTGACCAACATAGACAAACGTGGTCTCACATAGCCCCATGATCTATATGGCATGCGGGGTTTCTTATAACATTGGGAAGATTGTAGAAACGCAATCATTACTTTCATCGAAAAGTTAAACCTAGCTTTTGCTCAGATCCAAGGACTAAGATTGCCTTATTGATGCTCTATAATGATCTTCTACCATGTGTTGATCTTTCACTATTGTCTATGTTTCGTGCTTGATCTTTCTGCTGCTTTTCATACTGTGGGCCACGGGATTATATGGTACAGAAGATGGATATGTATTTGCATTACATTGCTTTGGAATGGGTTCGTTTCTATGTCTCATTGGGTCAATATTCATATTAGACAAGTGAAGCATGAAGTTAGACAGAGCTTAATCCTTGGTCTCCTGATCTTCATTGTCTATGCACTCCCCCTTGGATCAGTTAATCAGAATATTTATATTGGAGGAATTCTATGATCTATACAGCTCTTTTTCACAGACACTCAGTAGGGGCAGCTCAGAACGTTACAACAAATAATACAAAAACACAATATGAGTGTAAATTATAGGAAAAAGGTAAACAAATCACTTACAAATATATACAAATAGTTATCAAGCACTCAAGGTTAGCGGTTAGGGTTTAGGGTTGGGATTAGGGTGAGGGGTTAGGGTTAGAGTTATGGGTTAGGGTTATGGGTTAGGGCTTAGGGTTAGGGGTTATGGGTTAGTTAGGGTTACGGTTAGGGGTTAGGGTTATGGGTTAGGGTAAGTGGTTAGGGTTAGGCGTTATGGTTAGGGGTTATGGTTAGGGGTTATGGTTAGGGGTTCGGGTTAGGGCTCGATTTTTCCGACTCAAACTGCTAAATCCGACCATGTCTGTCCAGTGCTCACCGAACTGCATTGGCTTCCTGTTGTAGTATAGTATAAGGTTGCACTCATTACATACAAAAAGCGCTTGCCACAATTCAAACACAATACCTTGCTGATATCATCAAAGAGCATAAACCATCACGCAAACTCTGGTCATCCTCGTAACAGCTTTTGGCTAGTCATCGAATAAAGACGGTCGCTTCATTGCACGCTTTCAGATGCACTTCTGCAGCCGTCTGGAATGTTTTTCCTTCCGAAGTCACTGGAGCTATGCATTTTTAAAATCCAGATTGAAAATACATTTTCTTTCGAACTGCTTTTTGTCCTTAGTCTGTTGTCCTTCCCCCCGCATCTCCGATGAGCATGGTTGGCTATGTACAGTGTGAAAGAAGTTCAACATGCACACAAACATGGACACTCGCTAAACCAAAATGGTGTTTGTGTTTTGTCTCTCTCTCAAATGTAGCAATCTTTGGAAGAACGTAATCAACCAGGGAGGGTGTTGACTACTCTTTAATAAAAATAAAAAAGTAAATTAAATCACGACGTTTCGATTGCTACACAAGCAATCATCATTATGTGTGACAACCACACATTTTCTTGCTGTGGTTGTCATACCTGATGATGATTGCTTGTGTTGCAATCGAAACGTCGTGATTTAATTAACTTTTTTTTTCACCTACGTGACTTTACCGAAAGAACCAAAGAGTATGGATCCTTGCAGTCACGAAAACTTCAAGCTCCAAATTTAAGATCTAGACTGTTGTGTTCCCCGGCTCTCTGTGTTGTATTGCATTGTATTTCTAAGTTTACTATGTTTGTTTTCTACCTGATGACGATTGCTTGTGTTGCAATCGAAACGTCCTATTCTATTATTTAATTTATTTCCTTTCTCCGTTACTTTACCGAAAGAACCAAAAAGCAAAATGAAAATTCGCTGAAATAACTTGACCAACATGGTTGCTGTAGCGCCACCGTGTGGCCACATAGTGCAACTGCAGCGCCTCAGCGCGCTAATTGTAGCAGTGGAACTGTTCGGTGTCTTCACGGCTTCATTGCAGCCAACCCGCTTGGGACAAACGCCAGGACGCCGCAGCAGCAGCAACTGCTGTTGTACTGTGTTGGCCTATACTAAACATGTCAACCAGATAGCAGACGTAACCACGAATTGAATACTTGTGGTACTGCACTTGTCCACCAGAGGGCACACGTAACACGTCAAGCGCCGGTAAAAAAAGCTAAACTCTGCGGCCGATTTGCACTGCAATTCTTTATTTCTTCACGGATTTTCAAATAAGTTGGTTGGAGCTCCGTTGAATGGTGACGTCATCGCGCTCAGGTTGATGAGCGCCGCTGCGTGGTGACGTCATCACGCTCAGGTTGATTGGAGCGCCGCTGCGTGGTGACGTCATCACACTCAGGTTGGTTGGAGCGATGCTGCGTGGTGACGTCATCACGCTCAGGTTGGTTGGAGCGATGCTGCGTGGTGACGTCATCACGCTCAGGTTGGTTGGAGCGATGCTGCGTGGTGACGTCATCGCGCTCAGGTTGGTTGGAGCGATGCTGCGAGGTGACGTCATCGCGCTCAGGTTGGTTGGAGCGATGCTGCGTGGTGACGTCATCGCGCTCAGGTTGGTTGGAACGATGCTGCGTGGTGACGTCAACGCGCTCGGGTGGATGAGAGGCCCCTGCGTGGTGACGTCATCGCGCTCAGGTTGGTTGGAGCGCCGCTGCGTGGTGACGTCGTGCTCGGGTTGATTGGAGGCCCCTTGCGTGGTGACGTCATCGCGCTCAGTTTGGTTGGAGCGCCGCTGCGTGGTGACGTCATCGCGCTCAGGTTCATTTCAAGTTGAAGTTCATTTATTAGGTGTCGCCCTGTGAGCCATTCGGCTCTTGAATCGGGTGCAACCGCAACAAACCAAAACATGAACAAGAAAACATCTTAAAGGGATTCATAATCAACGCTTTTGGGTTTAGATCGCGTTATTTATAAATGCGTCGTAAACCTCCACCACCCGACACGGCCAATCAGTAAAAAAGTGTCACGTTGACAAAAGACAAATAGTTAACAGCTTTAGCCCACCGGTGTGTTGAAGCGTGAAACCACAACATTTGCAAATTCTGAGTACGACGTTTCGCTGGTAATTGCATCCAGCATCATCAAACAATTCGTCAGAATGGTGACGCTCTGCTCTGGCACCCGATCTTATATAGAGCAGCAGCATGGTGACGTCATCATCAACTCATCAACTCATCAGGTGCAACGACTTGAGGGGGGGGGGTTATTGTAATTATATACTAGATTAGTAATCAGGCAGTTGTTACGATGCGAGTTGTAGATTAGTAATCAGTTGGAATGTGTTTTATTGTAATTATGTTACGTTAGCAATCAGTTAATGTTTGTTTCCCCTTTAAGGAATTGTAATGTATCTTATTTAATAATACGCTTCCAGGTTTTGAGTGAAGATCTCATAGGTAGTGACTCAAGTTGCAATTTATTGGCAACAGCATTCTAGACCGCTTCCATGCTCGCTGCTACTCAATTGACATTCCTACGAGAGAGAGAAAGAGCGAGGCTCTACCTTGGTAAACAACAACAACAACCACCACCAACACAACCACCAACACCACCACAACCACCAACACCACCACAACCAACACCACCACAACCAACACCACCACAACCACCAACACAACCACCAACACCACCACAACCAACACCACCACAACCAACACCACCACAACTACCAACACAACCACCACCATGAGAATTTCTCACCTCGGATTTCAGTGCACGGGCGGAGCGGCAGATTCCTGTTACGTCATGACGTCACGCGGTAGCAGGTGACATGACGTCACTTGCAGGGTACGATAACACTCCTTTCCCACAATGAGCGTCTCCGTACCTGAATAAATTATGTTATATTACTTGGTATCGCCCTGTGAGCCATTCGGCTCTTGAATCGGGTGCAACCGCAACAAACACAAGGCAACATTTTGAAGTGACAATGCGCAAACATAAAAATCCAGGATAAAACTGCAGTCTTCCAGAAAAACCGCACCGTACACCTTCACGAATGTATTATGTTAATGAGCCACCAGTCACCGGGCGGAGGTGACGTCACGCTCAAGAAAGCGGTGGTCGGGTGAATATCTTGGTGACATGACGTCACTAGCGAGGCACACCTCCCCCTGGCGTTTGACGCCGATGAGGTCACGCTGAGCGGAAACGTCAGAGATCGGGGTCAGAGTTCAAGTTTGTTGACAGAAGGGGAGCGGCAGTGTCGTGGTGAGCGCTGCGCTCCGCACCGACCAGCAGAGTTCCTTTCCCGCTCGTGGCCAACACCGCCAGTGACGACTTTCTGAACCGGTCCTGAGCCTCCCCTACGTCAACTCAGCCTCAAACGAGTACCTGGTGCGGTGTGTAAACATCGCCACTGGGGAGACAAAGGCGGCCGGGCGTGGTGCTGGCCACCCACCCCCTCGTGTGCCGTCTCACCCTTAATAGGTGCTTGCTAACAGCACTTGCCCCAACATGTGCAGGCTACACGGGGGATCTTTGTTTTTGTGTGTTGGGAGCAAGTTTGAGTGGCGTGCAGTCGTGGGAGTTGAACGGGCGCCTGCTGCTACTGACAGTCGTTGACTGTGGTGGGACAGACGCTGATAGACACACACACAGACAAGACAGGCGGACAGACAAGAGGAACAGAGAGAGACAGAGACGACATAGACAGAGACAGGCAGAGAGAGAGACACATAGAGGCGAACAGAGACACAGACGCACAGACAGACGAATCAAACTCACTGAACTCGCTCCATTGAAAGAGATTCCTCGATCTTTGCCCATCCCCGGCAGTCGTTCTAGTTTCTATTTATTTCATTGTGTGAGGTGTGTACGTGTAAGCAGTGGCGGCTCCTGCAAAATCTCTCAGGGGGGGGAAATGTCTGGATGATTGATAAGGATAAGGTCCACCCATGCAATGGATAAATTAACAGCTTAAGCATGTAAAGGCAACTTCACTTCTTTAATATTAATGCAAAATAAAGTGACTCTTACAATACATCTTGTTTGTTTCTATACTCACTATTATTACAATCCACTCAGTTTCTTTTATTAAAGATTCCACTAGGTGGCGACAAATAATATTGTTTGATGAAACATGCTTACGTATGATGACGTAAGCACGTTAGTGCGAGCCCTCCCGGAAGCCATAGAGAATGCATTGCAGCGCCCACCGTTCGAAAAAAAACATCTTTGAATGTAAGTCTATGGGAACACTCTGGGCGATTCTCAGCCGGAGTGAAATCGCCCAAAAAGAGGTGGTACTCCACAGAACGTAGCATGACGCTGATTGGACTATATCCAGAGGCACAGTAACGGCTCGCAAAACTCTGTGGTTGAATGACATTGGTGGTGCGTCGCCCAATCGCCCTAATGAAGAAACCGCCCCTGCGTGTAAGCAATGTGGGATATCTATGTACACGGATATGAACAAGATCAGCAGACAAGACGTCTTTCATACTCTTTGGTTCTTTCAGTAAAGTCACGTAGGAAGAACAAGTAAAATAATAATTAATAAATCACGAATTTTCGATCGCAACACGAGCGGTCGTCCTCAGGCGAAAACATCCAGACATTGTCGCGGCAGAAGTCACGTGAGCTACAGCTGAGCATTGTTTTAATGTGGTCCGGCTCACGCGAAATTGATTTCTGTAAGACGAATGTACTTTGAAAACCCACTGGCGATGCTCTTTTATAACAGGTCCCTGTGGGGTGGGCTGGTAGGAACGAATAACCAAAGAATATAAACATAATGTATTATTACACTTGTTTAGCCAGGAAAGCCTCGCTGAGTGTAAACGTTTTTGTAGGGTCCTGGCAAGTGTTTGCAGTAGGGGGCGATGTTGCTACACCTAATCGGACGATACGAAGGGAGAGTTTGAGGCCTAGTTCTAGGCTTTAGGCCTAGCTGTAGGCTTTAGGCCGCTGTGAGTTAATTTTGAATTTAAATGTTTTAATTATTAATGTATAATTTAAATGTTTTTATTATTAATGTAAAAGCTTTAAATATAAATGTTTCTATTTTAGAACATCAGGGAATGTAACATTGTTAAACATTAACTCCCTTTCACACACGCAGGGGTACGATACGAAGGGAGAGTTTGAGGCCTAGTTCTAGGCTTTAGGCCTAGCTGTAGGCTTTAGGCCGCCGTGAGTTAATTTTTTATTTAAATGTTTTAATTATTAGTGTATAATTTAAATGTTTTAAATATAAATGTAAAAGCTTTAAATGTAAATGTTTCTATTTTAAAACATCAGGGAATGTTTCATTGTTAAACATTAACTCCCTTTAACACACACGGGGGTACGATACGAAGGGAGAGTTTGAGGCCTAGTTCTCGGCTTTAGGCCTAGCTGTAGGCTTTAGGCCGCTGTGAGTTATTTTTTTATTTAAATGTTTTAATTAAAAGCTATCTCAGGGAATTAAAAGGGAATGTTACACTTGTTTAGCCAGGAAAGCGTCACTGAGTCTAAAGGTTTTTGTAGGGTCCTGCCAAGTGTTTGCAGTAGGGGGCAATGTTGCTACACGGACGGACGGACGATATAATCTATTGTAGGCTGGTTCACTTCGTTCCTATCAGTATAAGCGCACAACTTAATCTATCTGTGATGAATGCTGCACTTTCCGTCATTTTCATGCAGGGGGCGCTATAACCCTACGCGCCCCCTGCATGAACGACGGAGGCACAGGGACAGACGTTCGATCACGTTGGAATCGATCTGCAGACAGCGGTCTTCTCGCACGGCCAGCTCTGTGTCGCCTCATCTCAATCCCGCGATCCCAACCAGGTGAAAGTCCGCATCGAACCGAATCCCCGGCAAGGCCATCTACTTAACGACGAGAGAAAATTCACACGAAATGTCGTTTTCAATTAAGTCTTCCAGATGTAAAATGATATAAGCTTTTATTGAAGAAACACAATTCAAAACATAATACAATTCAAAGTTGTTTCATTTGAAAACTTCAAAACGGAGCATCGGGTGCTTGCGTGGATGCGTCGTTCGTGTGCAATTTTTTCGTGACTTTCCTGGCCCAAGGCCGTAAATGGTTGTGAGGGGCACCGCAGGCCGTCCGGCTTGCTTCAACCCCATGGTTGTGAACATCCAGACGTTAATCGGCAAGGGCCATTTCTCGTCCTAATTCGACAAAATCTACGTCAACACGTAATACAAAATTATAATTCGTGTTGTTGAGAATGTATCTCCTCTACGTGTAACTTTTGAGTGGTATGCCTTGTAACAGATTAATGATCCGAGTGTGCTCCCTATTTCAAAGACAATGAGTTGCTCCAGAGGGAGATGCTTCCTGAAAACACAAAAATACCCTTTGACCTGTATCACAAGAACAAGGAGTCTCACTTGAGTGATCTGTACAGGTTACTTGCAAAACACACACTTTGTCCTAACATCAGTTATTCAATGTTTGACCCTTATAGACAAAATGTTACATGTACGCACACAATCAGACAAGTATTCATTCTAAATTATTGACAATTTTTACGAAGTTAAATTACTGCACTGAAATATGCTGCATCAGGTTAAATCCTATTAACAAGATAAACAAAAAACACTGTCTGCTTAACAGTGTATATACAACATACTATTGTGCCATTCAAAACGAGTAGGCCATTGCATGTTGGCGTCTGGGTCAAAATGTAGCAAATTCTAAAAACATTATCTACAAATTCCACAAACGAGATGCCACACCATTGTCCCCTACTGACAGGCTCTTGTCCACATGCAGGCCGGTGCAGGGCCACCACCTTGTGCCACACAGGGGCAGCTGCTACTTGGGGATGCTCTTCGAGTGTTTGAAACGAGATACGATACAAAACTCCGAGTTGCCGAGGCGATTAAGCAAGCACCATATAAATGCAATTGATAACATAGTGAATGCTTGGGAGCTTATTGGCTCCCGCTCCTGGTTAGAGATCAATGCAACCCAAAGGTCCACAAAGACTGTCTGCTCTTACTCTGCAGGTTCAACCTAGGAATTCTTGTCATTAAAGACCTGTGACAAAGGTTCATCTATTGGAGCGACATCGTCACTGGCTTACACATCTACCGGGTCTCCATTTGACTTTGTATTGTCTCGGAGGAAGTCCATCCACACCTCCACTTCCACAAACTGCTGGGAGTTGCCTCGCTCTGCCTCACAGTCAGAATTCTCCTCCTGCTCCACGTTGCCTCCATCAATGCGAAGGTCCGATTTTGGAGTTGAATCTTCATCTTCACATTTTACCTTCGCTTCTTCGCTCTTCACCATCACTTCTTCACATTTCACCTTCACCTCTTCATATTTCACCTTGATACCTTTGAAAGTGTCCAAGCTGGGATTTTCTTCCGGTTCTTGTTTGATGAGGGATGGGCTCATTGCGGCACTTTGACTTTCACAAGCTGATTTCAGACTCCACTCCTGGTGGATATTCTGATGCTTGTGTGTTCTCTGGTGTACATGAAGATTTGATGAATGTGCAAACTCCTTCCCAAACACACTGCAATTGAAGGATTTCTCTCCCGTGTGTGTTCTCTGGTGTGCTACAACATGATGTGACTGTGTAAACGCCCTCCCACACGCACTGCACTTGAAGGGTTTATCTCCCGTATGGGTTCTCTGGTGTATTACAAGAGCAGATGACTGTGCAAACGCCTTCCCACACACACTGCACTTGAAGGGTTTCTCTCCCGTGTGTGTTCTCTGGTGTGCTTCACGAGTAGATGACTGTGCAAACGCCTTCCCACACACTCTGCACTTGAAGGGTTTCTCTCCCGTGTGTATTCTCTGGTGTTCTACAAGAGTAGATGAAATTGCAAACGCCTTCCCACACACACCGCACTTGAAGGGTTTATCTCCCGTGTGGGTTCTCTGGTGTACTACAAGAGCAGATGAATGTGCAAACGCCTTCCCACACACTCTGCACTTGAAGGGTTTCTCGCCCGTGTGTGTTCTCTGATGTTTGACAAGAGCAGATGACTGTCCAAACGCCTTCCCACACACACTGCACTTGAAGGGTTTCTCTCCCATGTGTATTCTCTGGTGTTCTACAAGAGTAGATGAAAGTGTAAACGCCTTCCCACACACACTGCACTTGAATGGTTTCTCTCCCGTGTGGTTTCTCTGGTGTATTACAAGAGCATATGACTGTGCAAACGCCTTCCCACACACACTGCACTTGAAGGGTTTATCTCCCGTGTGTGTTCGCTGGTGTTTTACAAGAGTAGATGAATGTGCAAATGCCTTCCCACACACACTGCACTTGAAGGGTTTCTCTCCCGTGTGTGTTCTCTGGTGTTCTACAAGAGTAGATGAATGTGCAAACGCCTTCCCACACACACTGCACTTGAAGGGTTTATCTCCCGTGTGAGTTCTCTGGTGCCGTGTCAAATGTGCAGGACAATCCGTGCTGTATGCACACCGGTCGCATTGTTGCCTTTTTGCACCGAGCCGCACTGATTGCCTTTGCTCCATGAGACCAATTCTGCAGAGGCAGTGACAGCTGCAGACAGAAACAAAGAATATCCACACCATCAACATGTCAGTATCGATGCACAGAGGAATGCATATACAGTCACATGACTTACACTACTGTACATATTCATATATTCATGATATAGTCAAAAAGTGTCCCAAATTCATTACACAGGCTGTTATGGCACACAACGAGAGGGCAAATGGTCACAAACATGCCTGGAAGCCCTCGTATCTTGAAAATGAATGTTAACCCAAAACTCCGAGCACACAATTTCGGCTGTTTGGCTTCAAAAGGAATATTTATGAAAGCTAAATTCAGCTGAAATAGCAAAGGGTGTTGAAAATAATACTATTTGTGTTATGCAGAAATGCATAAATGAATGTTCAATCGCAACTTAGAGGAGTGAAGCCAGGCTCAATGTCCTTGAATGTTGGGATGAACAGTTCCGGCTTCAACTGCACATGTGCTGTGATAACTTTCTGACACCATTCTTACAAGAGTTCCAGCGGAAAACCAAAAAACTACCGTTTTGATAAAACCTCCGTGCTCAATAGAGTTAATAGACTTGACTGCAAATACAAACTTGACACTGTCACCCAATCAGAGGCGGAGCCAGGATTTTCAGGTAGGGGGGGCAACCCCTCCAGCAATGAAACATGATAGGAGTTGTTATCAAGTAAGGAGTTGTTAGTAAGGACTTGTTAGTAAGTAAGGACTTGTCCCTTCTTTTTTATTCGACGCGTGTGATCGGCATCGCGCTCGCTCAAGGCGTTTGGTTTAAGGAAGTCGTGTACTGTATACTGCAACTGCGCACAATTCTGAGTCGCTTGTAACTGCTTTGCTGTTACTTATTGCCAATTATAGACTCGGACTGTTGTCCTCTCATAGAGTCCCTGGCACGTAATAATATGCCACATGGTGGCAGTGGGGGTCGCAAAATGCCTATTTATCTTATATAAAAGAGTAATGTGTGGATACGTGTCTGTTTGAAATGTTTAGCATACTTCCCAACATGCCACACACTTGAAATTTCGCATGTGGGTAGGTTCCATACTGTACACAATGTAAAAAGTATAAAAATTACACTTTTGTATTTTAGGGGGGGGGGGAGGAGGTGAGAAAAATTACCATTAAGTATGTGGCGTCAACCCGCATCATACCTGAGTTAAGCGCTCTGCAATACTTACCCCTACCATATGGCTCTTCGCGCGCCGTACTTGTACAGCTCTTCGCAGCGTGCCGGGAGATTGTAGGTGGCGCTTCCCTCCAGGCCGATGAAGCCATTGGCTTCTCGGAGTTTCAATACAAATCCGTGCGAAGAACGGGTACAACTGCTATCTTACATATGAAGCAGAAATGACATCTGTTTGTTTGTGTGAAGCAGCGAAAACTCTTCAACGCTGAGCTCTGGCGTCATGAAATTTTCACAGCTTATGCCGTCTGTAATTTCTAAGTGAACGCGACTATTTTCAGCTCTCCACGACATTCCCTTCCCGAGTTGCCAAAATCGACCTTACGTAGAAGTGGGTTACGGTTGAAAATCCTCGAGTGAAAACATCCGATTTATGTAAATTGATGTTTCGGCTTTTTTCTTTCTTGCAAGCATACATTTTTTTCAGGGATTTTCAGTGAAAGATTAGGGAATATGAAATTTATCCAAGACAATAATCCAAGTCCCGGGCGAAGCCGGGTAGTGAAGCTAGTTACTAATAAACCCGAATGATCCGATCGAAATTAAGGATTTCGATCGGATCGTTGGGGGGGCACGTGCCACCCCACCCCCACTGGCTCCACCACTGTCACGCACTGGCACGGTTCACAGGTGGTGGTGTGTCCAGACCCACGCCTAGCAACCTTTACCTGCTCAGTATTAATGCTTCCTCACTCCACCAAGCAATTCATTGAGGATCAATCAACACAGCTGAGGCTGTGTGTCTCTCTCTCCGCGTGGTCGTGTGGATTTCCTTCCCGATCCCCGGGTTTCCCCTCCACACGTATAGAGTGAACACCACCACGTGTCTAGTGAACACCGCCACGAGTTCAGAGTGAACACCGCCACGCGTCTAGAGTGAACACCGCCACGTGTCCAGAGTGAACACCGCCAAATGTCCTGAGTGAACACCGCCACGCGTCTAGACTGAACACCGCCACGCGTCTAGAGTGAACACCACCATGCTGTTGACAAGCCCCACCTTGATAATTGTTTTTTTACCCTTCTATCTGGCAACAAAACTGACACCTTTTTACAAGGAGTCATGTTTGCATAGACCGCAATACCTGCAGTCATAATACAAACAAAAGAACATAACTCTGATAATGTGCACTGTCCTTGAAGTTGATTGGTCCACACCCGAGACAGCTTTCCTTAGAGCATAGTCTCATATGGGTTGGACCAGATGACGCCAAAAGGCTCACAACTCAAAGACAATGCACCATCAGAGTATGAGAGCTCGGGGCAAGCATCTACACTATGGGAACCTCATTTGCCAGTCAAAATATGATAATTGTTTTTTTACCCTTCTATCTGGCAACAAAACTGACACCTTTTTACAAGGAGTCATGTTTGCATAGACCGCAATACCTGCAGTCATAATACAAACAAAAGAACATAACTCTGATAATGTGCACTGTCCTTGAAGTTGATTGGTCCACACCCGAGACAGCTTTCCTTAGAGCATAGTCTCATATGGGTTGGACCAGATGACGCCAAAAGGCGCACAACTTAAAGACAATGCACCATCAGCATATGAGAGCTCGGGGCAAGCATCTACACTATGGGAACCTCATTTGCCAGTAAAAATATAATTGGTTTTTTACCCTTCTATCTGGCAACAAAACTGACACCTTTTTACAAGGAGTCATGTTTGCATAGACCGCAATACCTGCAGTCATAATACAAACAAAAGAACATAACTCTGATAATGTGCACTGTCCTTGAAGTTGATTGGTCCACACCTGAGACAGCTTTCCTTAGAGCCTACTCTCATATGGGTTGGACCAGATGACGCCAAAAGGCGCACAACTCAAAGACAATGCACCAATCAGAGTATGAGAGCTCGGGTCAAGCATCTACACTATGGGAACCTCATTTGCCAGTAAAAATATGATAATTGGTTTTTTACCCTTCTATCTGGCAAATGAGGTTCCCATAGTGTAGATGCTTGCCCTCATACTCTGATGGTGCATTGTCTTTGAGTTGTGTGCCTTTTGGCGTCATCTGGTCCAACCCATATGAGACTAGGCTCTAAGGAAAGATGTCTCGGGTGTGAACCAATCAACTTCAAGGACAGTGCACATTATCAGAGTTATGTTTTTGTTTGCATTATGACTGCAGGTATTGTGGTCTATGCAAACATGACTCCTTGTAAAAAGGTGTCAGTTTTGTTGCCAGATAGAAGGGTACAAAACCAATTATCATATTTTTACTGGCAAATGAGGTTCCCATAGTGTAGATGCTTGCCCCGAGGTTCCCATAAAACCCCACCTTGTTGATGTTGTTGTTGTGGGCAGGTTGCTTCTGAAAACAAGAGCGGTACAGCAGCTCAAGCGGGCGTGGCCTGGTAAAAAATGAAAAAAATACTGTGAATATTTAAAATAAAACAAAGTTACAAAGTAGCGAGCCAGGTGAAGAAAAATTAAAATTAAGCAAGATACTCTTTGGTACTTTCGGTAAGTCACGTAGAATAAATAAATAAATTAAATAATAGTTTCAGTTTCATTTATTTGGTATAGCCCCGTGAGCCATTCGGCTCTTGAATCGGATGCAACCGCAACAAACAAAAAACAAAAACATGAAAGAGAAAACATCTTAAAGTGACTATGTGACTGTGCAAACATAAAATCCAGGGAAAAACAGCAAAATATTCCACAAAAAGCACCGTACACCAACTCTGTGTGCAAATATCATGCGACGTTTCGATTGCAACACAAGCAATCATCATCAGGTACAAATGAAAGATTAAAAAAACCTATTAAACTTAGAAATGTAATGCAACACAACACAGAGAGTCGGCTAACATAAGAGTCAACAGCCCGCCTGGTTGATAACGTTCTTCCAAAGATTGCTCAATTTGAGAGAGAGACACGGAGACACACAGACAGACACATAAGCAGAGGGAGAGAGATGACACAAAGACACACAGAGAGACACACACACACATAGACACACAGAGAGAGATGACACAGAGACACACAGAGACACACATAGGCACACAGAGAAACAACGCCTCTGTGTCGAGGCCTTAAATAGAGAGGGGGGCAGAGAGGGAGAGGGGGGGGGGTAGAGAAAGGAACAGAGGGGGGGGGGAAGAGAGAGGGGGGGGGTAGAGAAAGTGCCAGAGAGAGGGGGGGGGGGGCAGAGAGAGAGAGGGGGGGTAGAGAAAGTGCCAGAGAGAGGGGGGGGGGTAGAGAGAGAGAGGGGGGTAGAGAGAGGGGGGTAGAGAGAGAGGGGGGGGGGGGGTAGAGAAACTAGCACGTCAATGCAAGGCCGTAGCCATGGAGTCAACATTGGGGGGGACCAAATCTTCCAGGGGGTCTGGGGGTCCCCCCCCCCAGAAAAATATCTAAATTTGAAAACTAATTTCCTGCCACTTCCTCCCTAAAATATTTTTTTTTAATTCACTAACACATGGGATAGTTTTTTATTTTATACAATAATGTCTAATAGTGTATTGTAATACATTGCTCTGTTTTTCTTTGTTACCTTTTCTTGTTTCATAGTATGTAATGGCAGAGATTAGGGATTCATGAAGTACAACGCAAACATATAAACAGAAATCTATGCATTGTTACATGAAGAGAGTCGGATTTTGTGGCCAAGGCTTAGCAAATTGTTGTTTTTATTAACAGAGCATAGCAATTATTTACAAATATTTTTTTATAGCAATATATTGGGGGGGACATTTTTAGCATATTTGATTATTATAATTATAACATATAATTACGGCTTTGTGTCAATGAGAGATTTGGAGGTTTGGTGACTGCAGTAGAGGACACAGAGAGAGCACACTTAATCAAACAAACTTCATAAAATTAGAAATGCAATGCAAAGCAACAGAGAGTCGGTCAACACACAACGAACGCATCGCCTGGCTGATCGCGTTCTTCCACAGGTCGCTCAACGAAGCGAGAGAATTGAAGCGAACGCGACCAGGCGAGGGCAGGAGGCAAGGCCTCGCGTTGTAAACTTTCAACGTGGACATCGCTTCCATGCTCGCTGCTACTCAATTGACATCCCTACGAGAGAGAGAGCGAGGCTCTACCTCGGTAAACAACAACAACCACAACAACAACCACCACAACCGCGATGAGAATTTCTCACCTCAGATTGCAGTTCCCGCGCGGAGCGGCAACTTTCCGTTACCTCGTGACGTCACGCGGCAGCAGCAGGTGACATGACGTCACTTGTGGGGTACAAGACACCTCCCACAATGAGCGGCTCTGTAACTTACATAAATTATGTTAATGAGCCTGGCCCACACGTGGAGGGATGGGCCGTGGGTGCCGAACCGGTCACAACGAACTCGTGACGTCTTTCACGAATAAATTATGTTAATTAGTCACCAGTTACTGGGTGTGGCTTTGCCCAAATAAGGATAGTGCTTGAACAGATAACGGAAGTGACCCAGGCAGAGGTGACGTCACGCTCCCTTGAGACCGGTTGGGGTGAAATCTTTGGTGACATGACGTCACTAGCAAGGTACACCTCCCCCTGGCGTTTCACGCCGATGAGGTCATGCTGAGTGGTGACGTCACGTAGCGGGATTAGAGTTTAAGTTGATTAAGATTAATTTTCCATTGCTCCCTCCCTTGAACAGAGACCCCTTGGGTGTGTGAGCTCAGCTCAACAATGTGGACATTATTGTGTGTGTACACATGGACAGTGTGTACACACGTGTACATTGTGTGTGTGTACACTGTGTGTGTGTACACTGTACACACTGTGTGTAAACTGTGTGTGTGCATTGTGTGTACACTGTGTGTGTACACACTGTGTGTGTACACTGTGTGTGTGTACACAGTGTGTGTACGTACACACTGTGTGTGTACACACACACACTGTGTGTACGTGCACACTGTGTGTGTGCACACTGTGTGTGTGCACACTGTGTGTGTACATTGTGTGTACACTGTGTGTGTACACTGTGTGTGTACACACTGTGTGTGTGTGCATTGTGTGTACTGTGTGTGTACATTGTGTGTACACTGTGTGATGGCTGGGTGTATGGAATTGATGTGGTTGAGGAATTGGTCTAGAGCAGGCCGGCCATGTGGCCAGATGACAAAAGTGTCATCTACGTACCTCTTCCATAAGGTCGGGCGTAGAGTGGCAGTCTGGATGGCGTCAGTCTCAAATTTCTCCATGACGACGTTGGCTACAACCGGAGATAGGGGGGGAGCCCATTGGGGTGCCCTCAGTTTGCTTGTAGAAAGTTCCATTCCAGGTGAAGTATGTATTGGTTAAGCAGTGTCTCACCAGGGGGGGTACCCCAGCATTCAGGCTTTGATGAACCAAGTCTTCAATGATTGCGATGGTGTCAGGTACAGGAACTTTGGTGAATAAGGAAACCACATCAAAACTGACAAGCAGGTCGTCTGGGGACAGGGAAACGTCGTGAGAATTGTATTTTATTATGTTGTATTTTTATTATTTTATTATTTCCCTTCTACGTGACTTTACCGAAAGAACCAAGAAGATTTACTATGTTTGTTTTCTACCTGATGACGATTTCTTGTGTTGCAAGCGAAACGTCCTAGTCTATTATTTAATGTATTTCCTTTCTACGTTACTTTACCGAAAGAACCAAAAAGCAAAATGAAAATTCGCTGAAATAACTTGACCAACATGGTTGCTTCTTCTTGGTTCTTTCGGTAAAGTCACGTAGAAGGAAGGTAATAAAATAATAAAAATAAAACATAATAAAATAATTCTCACGACGTTTATTATGTTTTATTTTTATTATTTTATTACTTCCCTTCTACGTGACTTTACCGAAAGAACCAAGAAGACGAATCCCTGCAGTCACGAAAGCTTTAAATCGAAATTTATTTTATTATGTTTTATTTTTATTATTTTATTACTTCCCTTCTACGTGACTTTACCGAAAGAACCAAGAAGATGAATCCCTGCAGTCACGAAAGCTTTAAATCGAAATTTATTTTATTATGTTTCATTTTTATTATTTTATTACTTCCCTTCTACGTGACTTTACCGAAAGAACCAATAAGATGAATCCCTGCAGTCACGAAAGCTTTAAATCGAAATTTAACGTGGTGGCTGCAGCGCCACCGTGTGGCCACATAGTGCAACTGCAGCGCCTCAGCGCGCTAATTGTAGCAGTGGAACTGTTCGGTGTCTTCACGGCTTCATTGCAGCCAACCCGCTTGGGACAAACGCCAGAACGCCGCAGCAGCAGCAGCAGCGACTCACAACTCGGGGGTGACGCCTGACAGCGGCAACTGCTGGCGTGCTGTGTTGGCCTACACTGCACTGCACATGTCCACCAGATAGCAGACGTCACCACGCATTGAATACTTGTCCACCAGAGGGCACACGTAGCACGTCAAGCGCCGGTTAAAAACAAACCGAAACTCTGCGGTCGATTTGCGCTGCAATTCTTTATTTCTTCACTGATTTTAAAATAAGTATAACCAGTAAAAACAAAGTTTTTCACTATAAATCCTTTATATGCGTGGCGGCTTGAGTCCTCTCGTCCTCTGGCTTGAGATGGCTGCCACCTATGGGTCAGATGATTGCATTGCACCATTAAGCAATTGGTAATTAAATATAATATTTTGGTCCTAAACAGTGTAAAATTTTGGAAAAAAAATTTCACGAACATTAATTGTCACGCACAACGAATCTGTGTGGAAAATGTCAGCTCGATTGGATCACGGGAAGTGGGTTAAAAAACGACCGAAAGGTTTGCACGGTCGTAAGCAAGCAAGCAAGCACGCAAGCAAGCAAACTTAATATAAAGGCTTTATAAAGTGGTTGGAGCCCCTCCCTGCGTGGTGACGTCACCGCGCTCGGGTTGGTGGGGGCCCCCGTGCGTAGTGACGTCATCGCGCTCGGGTTGGTGGGCGCCCCCGTGCGTAGTGACGTCATCGCGCTCGGGTTGGTGGGCGCCACCGTGCGTGGTGACGTCATCGCGCTCGGGTTGGTGGGCGCCCCCGTGCGTGGTGACGTCATCGCGCTCGGGTTGGTGGGCGCCCCCGTGCGTAGTGACGTCATCGCGCTCGGGTTGGTGGGCGCCCCCGTGCGTAGTGACGTCATCGCGCTCGGGTTGGTGGGCGCCCCCGTGCGTGCTGACGTCATCGCGCTCGGGTTGGTGGGCGCCCCCGTGCGTGGTGACGTCATCGCGCACGGGTTGGCGGGTGCCCCCGTGCGTGGTGACGTCATCGCGCTCGGGTTGGTGGGCGCCCCCGTGCGTTTTGACGTCATCGCGCTCGGGTTGGTGGGCGCCCCCGTGCGTGCTGACGTCATCGCGCTCGGGTTGGTGGGCGCCCCCGTGCGTGCTGACGTCATCGCGCTCGGGTTGGTGGGCGCCCCCGTGCGTGGTGACGTCATCGCGCTCGGGTTGGTGGGCGCCCCCGTGCGTAGTGACGTCATCGCGCGGAAGGAGAGGGGCTGGTCACGTGGGCGTGTGGGGCTGGTCACGTGGTCGGGGGAGGGGAGGGGCTGGTCACGTGGGCAGGGGAGGGGAGGGGCTGGTCACGTGTGCGGGGGGGGGGATGGTCACGTGGGCGGGGGAGGGAGGGGCTGGTCACGTGGGCAGATGGGGAGGGGCTGGTCACGCGGGCGGGGGGGGGAGGGGCTGGTCACGTGGGCGGGGGGGGCTGTTCACGTGGGCGGGGGGGGGCTGGTCACGTGGGCGGGGGGGGGCTGGTCACGTGGGCGTGGGGGGCTGGTCACGTGGGCGGGGAGGGGCTGGTCACGTGGGCAGGGGAGGGGCTGGGCACGTGGGCGGGGGAGGGGAGGGGCTGGTCACGTGGGCGGGGGAGGGGCTGGTCACGTGGGCAGGGGAGGGGAGGGGCTGGTCACGTGGGCGGGGGAGGGAGGTGTGGTCACGTGGGCAGATAAGGAGGGGCTGGTCACGTGGGCGGGCGGGGTAGGGGCTGGTCACGTGGGCGGGGGGGGGCTGGTCACGTGGGCGGGGGGTGGAGGGGCTGGTCACGTGGGCGGGGGGGGTGGCGCCTCCGTGCGTGGTGACGTCATCGCGCTCGG